CAAATCTTATATCATGCCTGGGGGCTGTGAATATAATATTATATTCTCATTATCTGTTTGGCTTCTGTTTTTCCATTATCTTATAAACTCTTTGAGGACCTACCATAGTGCCTGTCACAACACTGGGTGTGTAACTAGTAGTAGTTGAAAGAAGGACTGCAATGCTCACTCTCCTCCACTAGAGAAATTGTTCCACCCTRATTCTAATTGTTAATTTTTATATGTCCATATTGATAGCTGACCTTGAATTGTCTGAGACTTCAATACTACTGTGAAACAGCGCTTGTTGAAAAGATCTAATTTCTTAATAGTAGCCCTTATTAAAAACCCTCCCCTGCCCAAGGACCATATTAGTATAATCAAAATTAAATTCCATTATATATATATATATATATATATATATATATATATATATATATATATTCTGAATATATTTGATTATATTGGCTGCATGGTTTCACATCTAATTTTTAATGTTTATTACTTTTCCACATTTTTTGAGGTATCTCAGTATGATCTAAAAGGGAGTGGAATGGCAGAGTCAAGGAAATGGTAAGACAGCCAAAAGAAACTTTGTTAGATTAGAAATGAGGAACACTGAGTTCAACTGATTATTTTGTTCAGATGGCACATCCAGATAGCATAAGCCAAATCATTGGCATATAATTATTTTTAAAGTGTTAACCTGCTTATTTGGTTTAAAATAATTTAAAAGGGCTCTGGTTGGCTCCTACAAATGAATTTATCAATTCTTAATTCTGTTAGAATAGCTCTACTTCAACAATTTAGGCTATTGTCTCAGCCAGAGTCACCATTCTCTTTCAGAGGTTTCCATATTGTTGGGAAAACATATAAGGCAGCAGCACCCCAGAGAAAAACCCCAACATGGCGACTAACGACCCTCTTTCTCCTCTTTGTTTCTTTCATGGCGCGAAACGTTCCCGCCAGCGCCAATGTTCAAATCCTGCTGGTGGGAAGCCTTAGCCCCAATAAGAATTAACTTCTTGGGCTCCGGAAATGACATATGGAAGAGCTTGCCAATAAACGGGGGACCCGTTATCTACCTCAGCCTGCTACCTCTTCTTAGACCTATATAAACACGCAGCCTTTGGTAATAAAGTGGAACCTCTTTGGTGATCCGTGTCGTGTGGTGTAGTGTGGTGTGGCGTCTTCCAGTCTTACACATATAATTTTCTTTCTTTTTTTGGTGCTTGGGTATGGAACCAAGGGCCTCAAGCATATTAGGCAAGTATCCATTTAATTTATTCTCTTTTAAATTGGAGCAAGAGCATTTGTATAGCATTCCTTTAAAAACAACATTAAAAAGCAAGGTTTTTTTTTTTTTTTCTTTTCCCACATACCTCTTCTGACCAATGCCCTCCCAGAAAAATCTTCCCTAATCCCCTAGACTGTAATAGCATGGGGCTTAGCACACACTACTCCAACTAGTTTTCCTCTAGCATTGCAAGAGCTCACTGCTTCTTCAGTTCAATCTGATGAAATAGGTGGCAATGCATTTAGGGGCTACATTTCAGAAAAACAAGCCTGAATCTTTCTAGAATCACCGAGAATGAATGAAGAAGAGATTACATTCCCATCTCTTGCTTACTCCAAGGTCTACACTCACTGAGGAACAGTGAGACTCTCTAGCACTCCTCCCCACCCCCTATATTCCCCCAGTCAAATTCAAACAATTTAAGCACATGTCACAAATCCACTTTACAGTGGTGATCATATTTATTGTTGTTTCTCCTTTATTGTTCAGATTTTTGAGTTTTAAAAAATTACAGTAACATTAAGGGCACATGAAGAGTACTAATAGATGCCAGTTTATTCTTATACTTAAAGCATGTAGTTCTTCATTAGTATTATTTATAATGAATCACTAAAAAATATTTTTAAAATGAGATGATCAGGGCCTGTCCTAATTCTACTGAATCACTTTCTTTAGGTATGGAAATTTGGTCCACTATTTTATGGTACTGGGGATTAAACCCCAAGTCTTGTGCTTGGTAGACCAGTGTTGTACCACTGAATTATATTCTCAGACTTTTTTGAGAAAGGGTCTCACTACTAAATCCTCCTGCCCCTGAAGTAACTCAGATTACAGGTGAGCGCCGCTGCACCTGGCAATACATTATTATTATTATTAGGTACTGGGGATAAACTCAGGGGCACTCGAGCACTGAGCCACATCCTCAGCCCTATTTTATATTTAGAGACGGGATTCTCAGTGAGTTCTTACCGTCTTGCCATTACTAAGGCTGGCTTTGAACTTTGGGATCCTCCTGCCTCAGTCTCCTGAGCTGCTGGGATTATAGGTGTGCACCACAGCATCAGGCCATTATTCTTTGAAAATATTTTTTTCAAATTGTAGATTTTTTCAAAATGTAGATATAAAGAAAAAAAGATACCTTTTTTTCTTTATTTTTATGTGGTGCTGAGGATCAGAACCTAGTGCCTTCCATATGCTAGGCTAGCGCTCTACCACTAAGCCACAACCTCAGCCCATTATTTTTCTAAAGCTCTATTCATGATGCGGATGTGTATATCTTGGCTTAGAACCCCTGCTTTAAGCCATCATCAACCAAAAGCTAAATTGTCAACCAGAGTCACTGAGAATAAAGTTGGCCTATTTCGCTAGATATTGTCTGCTTGTTAATGTTTCCTGGTTTCTGATTGCCTCTTACTTTGCTGCCTTTGTATGCCCTGATTTCTTTACTGCTTTGCCCCAGGGCCTTGACTCCCAGTACTTCTGAACTGAAAACCTGATCTTTGATCTCAGATGCCATCATAAGCATGGGTTCTGGTTACAAGCTCCAGGTTGGCTTTCTGGACTTAACTCTCCCTTATCTTTGCATCTATCCCTGTTTCTACCATACACTTCTACTAATGTCCCTAGTATGACAACCTGCCAAAATCACTTGAATCAGGGAAGAGCAAGCAGTATTCTGTATCTTGAAAGATGATTTCAAATAACTGTAATAGGCAAGGTCATTATTAATGTGTGCTTATCTATTTCAGTAGACTAGTTCAATTCTCTTCAAACATTGCTGCCTTACTTACTATCCCATCTAAAAACTCTTAATAGGAGGAAAATCCCTTAGCTTGGAATAATGGTCCTCTACTATCTACTGACCTTTCTGGATTTGATACCATTGTTGATACATCAGGGCTTTGGCCTAGCTGAACTTCACTGTTCCCCAGGAAGCCCCAGCAATGCTGTCCAAACTTCATTTTCAATATCTGGAAGGATTTTTTCACCAGCAACTTCCCCTTCCTTTATCTATATCTAACCCTGTCAGTACTTAAAAGCAGTGTTTCTCAGAACAGAGTACTGTGCAAGAAGAAAAATTTGTTATGATCCTAAAGAATGTTTCCAGACAGGCAAGGGGCCCATAGACCACAGCCAAAAACAATGATATAGAAAATGAAAGACTAACTCTATTAAAATTATGCAAACGATCACTTTGAAGAAAAGTATTGTTAAAGTACTTTGTATATTGTCACAGAACTCTTTAGATCTACAATCCCAGTTTGAGAATCACTGCAGCACATATTGACCTTGGAAAATGCTCATCATCCCCAAATAAAATTCTCTTTTCTCTTACTATCTAATCGCTTTCTGCCTTAATTAATAATATGTAATATTTTCCTAGAAAAACATAAACTCATTAAAAATGGGGACATTTTATTCATTTAAAAAATCTCTATCATACCTAGATATAGCAGGTCCTACGCAAATAGGACCTGTGTTCTATTTTATTTTGCAGTCCATACCTACAGAAAAACGTACTACTAAAATTGCACTAACATAAATTAACAAATATTAGGAAAAGTCCAAGTTATGAAACTCAAGATTTTAAAAAAGGGCCACAAAGTATGTCTTTTCTGTGTTAATAAAAACACTTTCCATGTTCAGTAGGCAAAAAAGAATTTCAGGATAAAGAATAAAATCCGGAAATGCAAGACTAGTGGGAGAGTCCCTATAAATATCTCCATAGTCTTATAAGGGCTGGGCTGTATGTCCTTAATTCAACTTGTATTTAAGGCAGTGTCTTGGTTTTCCAATTCGATGTGAGGAAACTGTTTCTCGGACTTGTAGGAGGGTACTCATGACTTTATGATAACAGGAACTTAAACAGAAAATGTTTTCCTTCACACAGTATTTCGAACGAGTTTGAAAGTCAGTTTCTTTCACATTAAAACGAAGGTAATGGACTATGATTTGTCTAAATTCCTTTCGGTGAAACAGATACTGTATTGCCCTAAACGGCTTGAGAACAGAATCTCTCCGTTTCCCTGTAGCTCGGGGATTGGGTGAGGGTCTGTTCTCTTTCTAGTGGGTCCTCCGACAAGGATCCTGGCTTGCTGCAGGTCAGGAGGAGCGAGGACCAGCCCTCCGTCCCACTCCCTGGCGGGAGCGGTGTGCCGGGAGGAGATTAGTCCCCGGTCATAAACAACCTCTCACTTCCCCTCCCCCTCCCGGCCCGCCCGCGCTGGGGCCGGCCCTCCGAGGCCCAAGAACCTTCTCCGGCGGCCGCAGGCCCCGAGCCTTCCTCGGGAGGGCGACATCGGGCCTGCCCTCTTCCCCTAACCGGGTGTTTGTTCACTTTACTCAGCTCTCCTCACTGTCCACGCTACATCGACCTCAGAGGGGAACTCGGGTTAGCCTCCATTTCCCTTCCCTCGACCCCTATCACCTCCAACAGCCAAGAAGGCCAGCAGCCCTGCCGCGCAGGCTCACAGGCTCGGCCGCCCTGCGCGCGCCGACGCGGCCCCCGCCCCCAACCGCGGTCCTTCCGCGGCCCATCCCCGCCCCTTCCCGGAGCCCGCCTCCGCGTCTGCCGACCCGCCTGCTCGCCCCYCGCGCTCGCTCTCGCGCGCACCCGACGCCCCGCCTCCGCGCGTGCTCAATAACTGTCCCCGGAGTCGGCCTACAAGCTTCCTCCGCCCCTGAGCTGTTTGAATATGCTAATGAGAGGCCAGGGACTAGCCAATAGAACAACGGGGCGGTGTGTCACGTGGCTCGGGGACGTGTCAGGGGGCGGAGCCTCTACAGCCCCTGCCCAAGTTAAAACCAGAGTGTGAGAGAGAAAAGCGCTTCAGTAGCGAGAGGGGCTGAGAAAGTGGTGACACCGCCGGGGTGCGGAGGGAGTCCCTGAAACTTCTCCCAACAGCCCCAGGGCCAATCTCCCCTCAGCCCACTCCCCTCTTCGCCAGCTCCCTGGTCCCCACTCCCTGCACCGGGGGTGGGGTGGGGAGCCAGGCCCGTCTCCCGCGGGGACACACACAGGGACCGGGAGCGGGGACGGGACCCCCAGGCGGGGGGGACGGACCGACAGACAGACGGCCGGGCTCCCGCCCCAGCGGGCAGGCAGGCAGGAGGAGGCGGAGGCAGGGGTACGACGGGGAGGACTGGGTCTGGGGAGTTTCCTCTCAACTATCGGGGGAGAAACTCCCCGCAGCCGGAGGAAAGACCCAGACGGTGTTTTCCTCCCGGGGGCCGCGCTCCCCCGCCCCGCGTAGCGGCGGTCGCTGCCGCCGCCACCGGTGCCTCCACCTCTACCATCTCTTTCTCCACCACCTCGGGCCCCGGTGTCCCCGGCCAGCACTATGCCCATCTTACTGTTCCTGATAGACACGTCTGCCTCTATGAACCAGCGCAGCCATCTGGGCACCACCTACCTGGACACGGCCAAAGGCGCGGTAGAGACCTTCATGAAGGTACCGACTGACCGAGCCCGGGAGGCGACCCTGGCCCGATGGCCCGCGGGCGGCAGGGTGGGGGGGAGGGCGGCTGGGGGCAGCAGGGCGGGGGTGTCGGGGACCTGACTGCAGGCGCTGCCGGGCTCGGGGACCCCCTCCCCCACCGCGCGGGCGGGCGGGCGGGCGCTGCGAGCTGGGCTCGGCCGGGGCCCGGGCTCCGGCCCCGGGCGGTGTGTAGGAAGAGATCTGTGTGTGGGGCGGCGTGGAGGGGCGGCCGCTGCGTGTGCGGTACTGTGGGGGGTGGTGGGGCTACTGGGCGCCCCTTCTCTGCCTATTAACCTCGCCTGTGCTTCCCTCTTGCCCGCCCGGTTCCTCCTCCCGTCCCGCAGCTCCGTGCCCGGGACCCTGCCAGCAGAGGAGACAGGTATATGCTGGTCACTTTCGAAGAGCCGCCCTATGCTATCAAGGTAACAGCCCTCGCCCTCCCCCTTCTCTTCCTTCCCTTCCCTGTTCCTTCCTCGCTCGCCCTCCCCGCCCCCCCATTCACCCTTCATTATGCTCCCCTCCCCCACCCGCTGCGCTCCCGGCGCCGAGGTCTCTTCCCCTGCGGGCTCCCACCCCCTCCCCCGCTCGAGAGCGTCCTGGCGCGGTACAGAATCGCCGGGCCACCGCCATCCCCTCCCCGGCCCGGCTCGGCCCGGCGGCGGCGGCGGCGCTGCGATCAACATGGCCGACATTTCCCCTCCGCGGCGTGAGCGGCAGCAATGAACTGTGGGGGATATTTATTCAAGTTAGCCCGAGTGACAGCCGGGCCCGGCCGCGCCGAGCCCCGGTTTGCATTAAAGGGGAATGGGCCGGGCTATCAAGGGAGTCCTCTGAGGGGCTGCGAGGATTGGTCATCTCTAGAGTCTTCCTAAGGCTGCCTACCGATGGGACAGCCTTGGGCCAACTTCAGAAGTCATCTGCTTTCTACTAATACCTTCCCACTCCCGGATTTTGGGTATTAGGTTAGGTAGTAAATTTCTTGGTGAAGTTATAAAGTATTGAGGCCATTAACCACCAAGAACTATAGAGCATGCAGATTTTTTCTTGGCCACCTTTGGAAGAGAGATTTCTCAGGAGAGAGAATTAACAGGTTAACTGAAGCCACACCAACCAAAAAGCGACGTTAACCAAACATCTACTTGGTAAATGTCAGATTATAAAGGTTGTCCGTGTATATATGAGTTTAAAAGGTGAAAAAAAAAATCTTAATTTTTCTTTTCAGGCTGGATGGAAAGAAAACCATGCAACGTTTATGAATGAACTGAAAAACCTTCAGGCTGAAGGACTTACGACTCTTGGCCAATCCCTAAGGACAGCTTTTGATTTATTAAATTTAAATAGATTAGTAACTGGCATAGACAACTATGGGCAGGTAGGTTGAATGTTAAGGTGGAAAAATAGTTGATGATATATATATATATATATATATATATATATATATTTTTTTTTTTTTTTTGTGGAAAAACACTTTAGTACCAAACTAGAACACAAAACTCCAGTATAAAACATTTCAGACTGAAATACAGTGTGTACATGGTTCAAATGTGAAATTCACCCTACACAGTGTATGGTTTTGTATCCCTCATCCCCCCAACATATGCATTTGTATTCAGAATTAGAGTCTGAATTCTTTGCTATAAAGTTGACATAGATTTGGTTTCAGTCCCCTGGAAGTTGAAAGACATGAAAGGGAAAATACCTTCCTTCAACATACTCACACTCTCCATAGTCTACCTGCAGACATGGTATACAACTATTGAAGTGGCTTATAGACATTAATTGATCAGTGGTCTTCATTTCTAAATGTTAGAGAAAATTATTATTTTTTTGATTTGGGATTTAGTTTAACCATATTGTGTAACTAGCTTGAAAGGTAAGACTTTCTTTGCAGTGCAGTAACTGGCTGAGTACATTAAGATTTTTAATGAGCATACATCATTAGCAACTATAAGGGGATGAATATTGAGTTAAATGGCAGGTCCATAGTTTGTTTTTAAATTATAAATCTTTGGAAAATAAGATGTCTGGAAAATATAAACCCCATTCTTCCTTCCTTAAACCGCTCAAGTCCCTCTCCCATCTATTTAAGGATGAGGCAAGAGATTTAAGTCATTCACTAAGGAATAATATGAGGTGGTCCATTATAACTTTTTGTAATGTTATGAAATACAGGATGCTGATGAATGTATAATGGTACATATAATAAAGGAATATTATACCCAAGGAATTTAGTTCTTACATAATATTACAAAGCAGTATTTATTAACTATAATGCTTAGATATACATTGCATTCTTTCCCAAGTTCCATAATCCACAAGTTTCATGAGTTTCACATATTTCAGGGAAATTTGTCCTGTGAATACAATTTTTATTTGCCTTAGATAGAACTAGGAAAGGTTCCCTTGTAGAAGTTTTTATGCTTTACTTTGAAATAACTCTTGAGCTCCTAGGCATCTTTAGAAATGGTTTAATTTGGTCCCATAGCATTTAAAATATATTTTGCAATTCACAATTACTCCCTTCTCCTCCCCCACCTCGTTTTGCTTTATTTTGTAACTCTTTGCAAGGTGTTGTAAAGAGTTTCTGTAAAATCTCATACTCCACTGTTATGTGTTACATGATCTTTTCTTAAGGTTCTGATTCAAACTTTTTTGAGTACAAAGTCATATTTGAAACTCCCCATTATTTAGTTGATTGTCAGGTTGTGTCAGTGTTCTGCATCACATTTTATAAGACATTTGGACACATTGACCTTCAACCACATATTAAAAATATTTCTAAGAGTGTTTCCAAAGAAAAACTGCTTGTCATAGAGGGGCTGGGGATATTTGTAACTTAAGCCTATATTTTCCTTTTCCCAGTTGCCATCTTCCACCAGAGAACATTTTAGTTCTTATAGATAAATCTAACAAAAAGTTTGAAGGGTGAAGGTGGTCTTGCTGTGCTGTTATCACTTTGACTAAGAGAAGAGCATGAAGATGAAAATGTTTTAACATGTCAGGGTTTATTAACTCAACAATAGGCAGAGATAATGCTTCTCAGTTATCTTGATGAATAAGCAAGGATACATGGAGCAGTATTAATGCTTATGTCTTGACTTGGCACATAAAAATGCAACTAGGTTTAAGATAATTTAAGAGCCACAATTTATGAATACAAATGAAGTGATCATTTAAGTGTTCAGTTAGAAGAAAATATCCTTCCAGAAGATTTTTTTTCATCATAAATCTTTTTCTGATTTAAATATTTAATAATTTCTATTCATACAAAGAATATAAACTATCAGGGATTTTTGATGTCTTAAATATTTAATACTAAATATCCTTCATGAGTTTTCCTCTATCTGTTTTCTGTGGAATATCTTTATTCTGTAACCTTGGTATTTTTATATTACTACTTAATGCTCTAAAATAAGATCTGTGAAGTTCAGAGCACCAAATTCTATATAATCTCATTAGTTGAGGAAAATGAGAAAAGGTGAGTTAGTTGGAAAGCAGAGCATGTCTGTTTTAGAGTATATAAAAAATTTAAGTTTCTGAATTATTTTCTTAACTAGATTGGGGTTAATGTGTATATATTTGTGTGTTTACACACATGGTTCCCCCCATGTACAGGCAAATATGTGATTTTCTATAACCAAAGCATAATTTATGTTGCATTTATTAGTTTACTTTAGTACACTTAATTTTTTAAGTATTAGCTTGGATGCCTAGAATTTGTAGGATATCAGTAAGTTTAAAGTGTTTGAAGAAGAGTGATTATCGGTGAATGTTTTCCTCAAGCACTAAGGATATCCTGCTAAAAATTTTAAAATTTTCTGCCTATAGAAGTCCTTATAAATATTTGATTTTGATGATCAGTACCATTTGCTGATATTTATATAGTCATGGAATAATGTAGCTTCTAGTTACACCTTCCCATTATAGTAGCACATTTTAAAATTTCTTATAATTGTAGATACATTGGATATTTTTCTACATATGTTCAAAAATTTTGAATAATGCTGAACTTCTGAGAACCACTAAAAATCTGAATCAGCCCAAATATCTAAAATTAGGAAATGTATAAAATTTTAGAGGTCTTATTAAAATTTTATATGTAAATGGGTTTATTTTCATACTGTTCCAGATTGTTCTGTTTTTCTATCAATGTTTTCACCATTGTCTTTTTTTTTTTTTCTTTTTAAAGTTACGTTCCAGTTAGGATTACTGAATCTTACACTGGCTTACAAATCATCATTTTTGCCATTGGCTTGACTCTACACCTCTACTCCCTAATAAACTAGTACTGATTAGATTGATTGGAATGATACCTGACCTACTGTGTGCCCTTAGTGAAGATAATCCTTGAGTGGTATCTTAAAAGATAATATATTTAATATATATATATATTTTTTTTCTAGGAACGGGTATTTGTGATTAAACCCAAGTGTGTTTTACCACCAAGCTATATCCCCAGATCTTTTTGTTTTTTTATTTTGAGACAAGGTCTTGCTAAGTTGTTGAGGCTGATTTTGATCTTTTGATCCTCCTGTCCTAGCCTCCAGCATTGCTGGGATTATCACATGTGCCACCATGCCCAGTGTATACTTAATTTTGGTGGGATTTTAAGTGCTGGTGGCTTTTGGATAAGGTCAAAATGAATGACTCTTAGGGAGAATAATTTTAACCCATTTTATTCTTGAGCATAAAGGTCTTTTTGTGAATCAGAAGATAATATAGGTAGAGGTATAATGCTTTTTCCCGTTTATCCATGTAGTTGCTATGTAGTACTTAGGTAGTATAAAGTCCAGACTTTCCTTTTAATGTTGATTGGTAAAGTAGTGATTCCTATTTGGGATTAGGGTTTCCCTTAGGTTATCAACATTTTGATATTTATTAAGCTATAGAAAATTTAAAAATGAAAGTAGAATAGAAAATTTTAAAATGAAAGTAGATTAGTGAACCTGAACATATGGCTGCTGAATATGAAATGGAAACCATTAGTGAATTTTTTTTTTTTCTTTTTTGAGGCAGTGCAGGAGATGGGATCCAGAGCCTTATGTTTGCTAGGCAAGTGCTCTACCACTGGGCTTCACTTTCTCACCCCTTTTAAAGATGTTTATTTTGTGACAGGTTTTCACTAAATTGCCCAGGTTGGTCATAAACTTGAGATCCTCCTCCGTAGCCTCTGAAATAGCTAGGATTACAGTTGTGTGCCACCATGCCTGGCCTATTGTGTAAATCTTTAAAGATCTTTAATGGAGGAAAAATATTTAATAGTGGTGAAAAGAAACATTTATAAATGTGTACTTCCGTAGTGTTAATAGTATTCACACTGTTGTGCAACTGATATCCAAAACTTTTTCATCTTGCAAAATTAAAACTATACCCATAAACAATAACTCCCCATTTCTTCTCCTCAGTCCTTGTGGATTATTATTCTGCTTCATGTTTTTTATGAGGCTGACTACTTTAGATACCTCAGAATGAGTGGAATCATGCAGTACAGTTGGCCCTCCCTGTCCAAGAGTTCCATATCTGTGAATTCAATCAACTGCAGATCAAAAATTTGCCTCTATAATTTAATGAAAATTGCTTTGGTAGAAAACTGAATTTTCTTTTCTTTGTCATTGTACCCAAAACAAATATCACATGAACTAGTTACATAGCATTTACATTGTTAGGTATTCTGAGTAGTCTACACATGACTTAAAGTATATGGTAGAATGTAGGTTATATGCAAATATGCCATTTTATGTAAGGGACTTGAGCATCCTTGGATTTTGTTATCTTGGAAGTGGGGGGAGAGGTTATGTGGGTTAGATCTGAAACCCACATACCTCTCTTCCATGGATATTGTGGCTGTCTTATTTCATTTAGCGTAATGTCCTTAAGATTCATCCATGTTGTAGCATGTGTCAGGATTCTTTTTAAGGCTGAATTACATTCCATTTTATGTATATACTGCACTTTCCTGTGCATTCATTTGTTGATCATTTGGATTGCTTCCACCTCTTGGCTATTAGGAATAATGGTATAATGAACATGGTTGTGCAAATATCTTTTCAAGATCCTGCTTTCAGTTCTTTTGGAGGCATACTGTGAAGTGGAATTATTGGATCATATGGTAATTTCATTTTTAGTTTTTTGAGGAAGTACCATACCATATTCTTTTCCATGGTAATTGATCCATTTTACATTCCCATCAGCAGTATACAAGGGTTACTTCCTCTACATCCTTGAAAACATTTGTATTCATTCACTTTTTTTTTTAATATTAGCCATGCTATCGAGTGTGAGGTGTTATGGTTTTTATTTGAATTTCTGTAAAATCTTGAATATCTTTTCAAACTGCCATTTGTCTACTGTCTTTGGAGAAGTATCATTTTT